TGCATGACTCTGAGTCAACTTCCTGTGTTTGTGATGCAATTTCCATTCTGAACTTCTGAAGAATATGAACCTGACAAATACCCTACAATTTGTAATAAATAATAAAAAATAAAGTAAACTAAGAATTTTTAAATAATTAAAAAGAAAAACTGAAATGAGATGTAGAGCACACTTCTAATGGATCATGTAGCAATGAAGAAGATAGCAGCTGATTAAATAGGCACTAGTGGTTTAAAAAGACCTCTAAATATAAATGTAAAGCATTAATATAGCAAATTATCAAATTATGAGCTTTACGAGAAATAATAGCTTATTTCCTTATTTGTTAATCATTTGAAAGAGCGCATTTTGTTAAGTGCATACTCCAGATCAGACGGTGGCGCTAAAGCGACCAAAAGCTGTTTTTCTAACCGTCAATAAAGACAAAACAGAAGGAAGAAGATCAGCTAAAAGAAGAGGAGACACATTGACACATTACTGCTGCTCTGCTCAGCAGCTCGGCTCAGGTGAGACCTGTAAAAAACAGAACTACAAACCAACACTTGTTAGTATTTGCTAGAGATGCTAGCTGTTGTTAGCTTTAGCCTCAGTAGCCGTTATTTTGACACTGCCTGCGCAGAACAAGCTAGTGCTAAACCCAGTGTGTGCATGTGCAAGGTGTTCACCTGGCATACTGAACTGTACTTTTTAACCATGCGAATATTAATGTGCTAAGTGATGCATGTATTTAGTTAACATTTGCTTAATAAGATTGTCCGAAGTCTGGTGATATCAAGTTATTGGTTGTTGCTAGCAGGTGGGGCTTAAGTGGTTAAGAAGATAAAGGAAGATCCATAACTCCTACTGTTCTTATTACAATGAATTACCATTTAATTCCCCCGCTTTTTTGGCTGTATGTGTGTTTATTATTGTCATGTTGGTAGTTGCATTCAGATGGACTTTAAAGGTACAGTAAATAATTTCTTATAAGGTATTTACTGATTATTTTTTACCTGCAGGTAGCTGGTGATTGCCAAGTAATGGAGCGTGTGATGGGAGGAGGAATGCTACCGGTGGTTTTAACCGGTTTGGGAGTCGTATTGTTGTACCGGATACTTGTACGTCTCAGAAAAGGGGCTTCAGTCCAAGGTGCTGTAGTGGTCATAACTGGGGCCAGCTCTGGACTCGGGAAAGGTCAGCCTCCATTCATTCATTTCAGCTTACATGTGCAAACTCTCTAAACCATACTGCTTTAGTGCTAGTAGGCTTTTATTTAGATAATGTGCAATCTCATTCTTCAGTGTTGTTGTGCAGATGCCAACATGTAGTTGTAGTTCTTTATCAGATTTGGACATTGTACTGCCCGTTGGTTGTCTCGGACCAGTCTGCGTGCGATCAATGGGAAATTAGGATTTAAACATATATACGTATACATGAATCATTTTGTCCCATTTCAGACACCAAACACTCTTTGATAAATTCCTGGTCAGAGAGTGGATTCCTGATTTTTGTAGGAAACCACATTACAAATTTGTCACTTCTATTTTGAACATGAATGCTATTTTTTTACTTTACAAACACATGTTTGTGAGCGAATGCATCTCCTCTGTAAGTGTGCCTGATCTTTTGTTTCTGAGAGTTTCTAGCCCCGAAAGATGTCAGCTGACCTTTAAAAACAGGAAAGATTGATACGGAGTGTAGAGTTTTTAACAGGACGTAGACTTCTCAATATTTAATTACTGAAGTCAGAGGTAAAGCCATGTGTTTAGTTTGTGGAGAGCAGAGTGCTCTGTTTATGGATTACAGATTGAATCCCCTTTGTGAGACTAAACAGAGAGAGAAAAGAGCTGGACTGTTGCTAGCAAATCTGCGAAAAGCAACAGGACTTTTCACTAAGCCTCACACATCCAGGGATGGAGCAGGCAAGACCAGCTTTGTGATTTCAAACAAGCCATCCTCTGAGGAGTTTATCAAAGAGTGCTTGGTGGCTGTGGATGACAGTTGTGATGACCCAGCCCTGTTAATGAATTTTTTACATGGGACAACGAAAAGAGTTTAGCAGCCACAGGCTCAGTAAAAGGGACTACCAAGGTTTGTTTGTTTGTAAACAACTTACACCTGTCAAAATCTGACAGGGAAAAATGTGGGACTTTTAAAGCAGATGCAAGATAAAGTGACTGAAATGAAGCCAGAAGTAAAATTGCTTTTTTTTCCCGCTGAATCGTACAGCAGAAGGTGTTGTGCAAGTCAGTGAACCATGCTGTTGGTGTTGTAACTAAAACCGTTAACTTCAGTTTGTTGCACTGTTGATTCACTGGATGCACTTGTAGAAACTCAAGACGGACTAGATTCCTGTAGCTGAGCAAGAAAAAATAATTAAAAATAGCAATAGCACTTATTTTAAAATAAAGTTAAGTCTTTTAAATTTTGCAAAAATATGGACATTTTGTGCACAATTGTTTTGGGGAATGTTTATTATATCATGATAAAAATGTTAGCAGTTTTCTTCTATGCTTATTTCAGTTTTATAAAGTGCTCCTGGTAAGAATTAAAGAGATACTGAGCAGATTTGAGTTCAGCTTAGTGGTGTGGCTCTCTGCACCCACCCCTGTTTTATGCTCACTAATCTACAACGAGAATTCTGCATTGTAGAGTCTGCGCGGGTCTTCCACGCTGCAGGTGCACGGCTTGTGTGGACGTGACGCAGCTCGCCTGCAGCAGGTGGTCCAAGAACTAACAGCGAGTTCAGCAAACACACAGAAACTGGTATGTATATACACACAAAGGAGTAACACAATAAAGTCTGGTCTGTCTGAACTATAGCTTAGCCTCTAAGGATCCATTTGTAAAGAGTCGTTTTGTTTCGCTTTGGTTATCCACCAGATTCACACTCCCTGTACTGTTGTCTTCGACCTGGCTAAAACAGACACGGTGGAGAGAGCTGCAGAAGAGATCCTGAAATGTTACGGACAAGTGGACATCCTCATTAATAATGCTGGAATCAGTTACCTTGGCAATATACTAGAGACTCACATTTCAGTTCAGCGGGATGTTATGGAGACAAATTACTTCGGGCCCGTTGCTCTTACACAAGGTTTGTTTAATCTTGTTGGTTTCAGCGTACGGGATGTTTTCATTTATTTTGGCTTGTGGTTGAAAGAGCCGAGCTAAATGTGAAGTTAATAAGTCATTTATGTAGAGATTTGGGTGAAGATTATCATGAATATGAGTCAGCCCTCTCTCTTTCATTTCTTTCCTCTCTCCACAGCTCTCCTGCCTTCCATGGTTCGCCGGCACAGCGGCCATATTGTAGTGATTAGCAGCGTCCAGGGGAAGATAGCCATTCCTTACCGGTCAGCCTGTAAGTCGTCTTTGATTAATGCAAACAAACACAACATGAGTTTGCCAGCAGGAGGAGGGTAACTAAAGCAAGCCTCTGATTTGTCTCATGCTGGTCAGATGCTGCGTCCAAGCACGCCACCCAGGCCTACTTCGACTGCTTGCGGGCAGAGATGGAGCGCTACGGGATCCCAGTGACTGTGATCAGCCCCGGGTACATCTGAACCAACCTGTCGATCAATGCTGTCACAGGAGATGGATCCAAGTATGGAGGTGAGGCAGTGAGAGGATGGAACAAAAGAGTAACAGTAGCAAAAGCAGCATTTTTAAGAGTCAGCTGGTAACAGGTGATAAATCTCAGAGTTATTAAGGTGGTGTTGGAATGTGTGTGGATCTTTGATGCCAGCTGGGATTTTGTGTTTTCTTACTGATTTTTTTTTTTGACTACATAAGGAAAAGACTACAAGCCAAATGGATTTTTATAACTAAATAATAAAAGTAAGAAGCAACATAACCAGAGTAATTTATAAGTTATTGTAGGGTCTTTCTTACCTTACATTAAAAAGCACCTCGAGGCAACTGCTGTTGTGATTTGGTACTATATAAATAAAAGTAATTTGAATTAATTGAAGTAATCTGTACTCTCTTGTATCAATGATGCAACATGTCTCTTGTCTTTGCAACTACCGCTCAGTGTTGGACAGAACTACAGCTACGGGCTGGGACCCCAGGGACGTGGCGTGGGAAGTCCTAAAGGCTGTTCGTCAGCAAAGTAAAGACGTGGTTTTGGCCGGCCCTCTGCCCACTGCTGCAGTATACCTCCGCACACTCTGGCCTGCACTTTTCTTCAAGCTCATGTCCTCGCGCGCTCGAAAGGAGCAAAAACCTAAGGATAAGTGATGTTCGAGCTGGTGAGGTCTAGGACCTGAAATAAGCAAGACTTTGGAGGAAATGAGGAGATCTGTTTTATAACATCTGGGACAGAGCTGGAGTGGGTTTTTGTACTATTCATTGTTTAATGTCTAATTTACATGTTGATATTGTCTGTCATGTCTGAGAAACTTTTACCCTTCCCACCCAAAAACAACAAAAATTGTTGGCAAAAGCCTGCAGTATCACATTTTGCAGGCTGGTGAGAAGAGATGGTTTAATTTGAACTCCATAATTTGGGACTCCTGATGCAAACAGAACAGCTTAAATAAACCAAACTGTGGTAAAGGAATCATGTCTGATGTTTTGGCAGAATGTCTACCCACAACTGTGTCACTTACTCTCCTTTAAAATATCTACTGTGGTTACAAAGTCAACGTTTGCCAACAATTTCTCATTGAAAAATGGTGCAGCACCCGACCTGTTTCTGGGTCATATTTTCCATGCAGTATGCAGAGCACATCACTGAAAATGAGTCACTTCAGCACACGTACGTGCAGTCGAGTTTTTGTTTCCGGCTAATATTCTTTGTCACTTTAAAGTGTCGTCTGGATTGGAGCATGATTGTACTTTTATTGGGAGCAGCGAGGAATTCAGTGTGGAGTCTGTGCGGATAAACCACTCATCCATCTCTGGAGAAGCTGACAAACCTGTCAGAAACAAGCCCAAGGCCAAAGACCGAACTTTGTACAAGCTTGCATATGAACTGCTGTGTATCCCCCAAACACAGTGAATACAAGAAAACAGGCAGGTTTTTATAACTATCTTTATGCACAGAATAAAACACCTTTTACAAACTGAAAACAGTATTTTTTTTTTCCTCCTTTCTTGGATGTCACCTTAAATTAAAACAGAAAAAACACTTGTCTCAGAAATATTAACAATAAATAGTCCAAATAATGATTTACATTATGTTACAAAAGCGCAGTGAATACTGGAATTTCCATTTGTACAAATACATCCTTCAATAGGATTCCTTATTAAGAATCATCTAGTGTGACAAGATCAAGCGTTTCCAAATGTTCACAAACTAACACCACAGGAGCGCTTACATTTGTTAGATCGTCTTACAATCTCGTTTGTGGAATGACAAAGAGGTCTAACAGTTTACACCAAACGGGTTCACACAGCTGCATAGAGATGATGCTGGTTGATCAAATTAAATGTGAAGGCAATGAGTCTGTACTGCATGAAAAATTCAGAGAAACGATGTCTGCTTCTGTAACATGCAAGAGCCACTCTTTAGTCATAGTGTTTTGTTAGCATCCACTAGTCAGAGGAAAGTAATTTGGGGGCATATAATAAAAAACAAAAATTAAAATAAATGGAGTCAACTATGGCTTTAGTGTTTCATTAAATTAACCGCTCGCTCTTATGGAGTGTATTTCTACTGGGAACTCAATAGTAGCCAGGACATTCATAATTCTAGTTTGTCAAACAAAATGAATGTGTGGCTGCAGCCAGCTCATTTGTTTGAACTAATTAGGACGGCAAGAAAGCAACAGAACTAAGGAAAGTAAATGAGCAACATTGTTAGATTTCCTTGTAATCGATGGCGTCGGCAAGAGAGCGCCCACCTGTTGTGTCAGCGTTACTGAAAACGACAGCAAAAGTAAACAAAGACACGCCCTCCTTGCTGTTGATCTGGAAGCTTCAGGTCTGGATAGGTCACCTTTTAAAACAGCGCAAGCCTGAATGTATGTTAACAGACAGGCACGCATCAGAGTGCTGCCGCTCACGCGCATCTTTTTGAGTTGTTCATCTCCCTTCATTAAAACCTTCCTGTGCAATTCACGCTCACATCTACAATACAGGAGGGAAATTCTCCCTATTGCAGCTTGCGAATGAGGAGCTGGGAAAGCGCCGAGTCAAAGGAAACGTTTTAATGTGAACGTTCCTCAAGGCTTTCATTCAGACGCAACAACCATGAAGAACAGTACATTACGCACATTATGCTGTTTGTGGCTATAAGCACTGTCAGCACAGACTCTTTAAAACATTCTGATTCAGTCTCCAAATACCACACGTGTGAAGAGGGCTTAAATATCTAAAAAGGTATTCCTGTTTATGCAACAAAATCCAATATTTGAACTTGCATCTCTGCACACAAAACTAATGAGAAATGAATGCAACAATAAAATAATTCCAATAACATTTTCAGCATCTGTGGAGCTACCCAAGTGGAGTCAACCAACAAGCTGCCATTTTTTATTTGTATTTGTTTGTTTTTTTTGTTTTGTTTTTTTTGTTTTTTTTTTTTTAAATGTGGGTTTGAGAAATGAAGAACCCGATTCCAAACACGTGTGACTACAACACAATCTGTAACACCTGAACTCATAAGAGATGAGGAACAAAAAGAAAAGAAAAAAGGAGGCCAACAGGAAAAATGAACTTCTACACATCACTTTGTTTTGTTCCACTTTTGCTACTGAACTATGCCAAGTATCTCTTTCTCACCGACATTACTTTTAATAAAAATCACAGTCCAGTGGCTGTTTGCCACCAGCTGATGATCTGAACTGCACATTTTGAGCGGTCAGCCTTACAGCCTTTAATACACACGCACACACAGATACATTCATGCACTCACACACCGAGAGCAGGAAGAGACATGAAAGATCAGATATTTTGTTCGGATATGGCATAGTATTTTCCTGTACATGAGGTTGTATCTTTGTAAACTCATTTGTTTTATCTAAAGTGTTTGTATTTAAAGGGAATTGTTCCTTAGAGAACAGTTCAGTGAAACCAACGCAACTCGCTTTTGAACAATGGTCACGGTTGACCACCTATTATTGCACTTTTACAAACAGGCCATGGATGGCTTTGAGGGGGGATGGGGTTGGCCTTTCTCCCCAGTCTTCTTTCTCCAAACAGGGAGAAGACAGAGAGGAAACCTCTCCTCTCCTCACTTACAGTACCTCTTGTCACCAACAACATGATGCTCTAGGTGAGCAAAGTTCTGCCTTGGTCTCTTTTTAGGAATGGCCTGCTTATCGACAGGTGTGAGAACCAGACGTGGTAAAAGTTGGGGTAATTTGCAGCTGCTGGCTGCAAATCGGTTTTGAATTTCTAGCAGTAGTCACTGCTTCCAAGTGTGGGCCCAGAAGTTTGTGTCTCTCTCTCCTGGAACTGTGGAAATGCCTGGAACTGGCTGTAGATTAGAGGTACAGATGACCATGGCTTGGTGGAGTCTTCCTCAGGGAGGTGGAATGGAGGGCTCAGTTACGGCGAGCTCCTGAGCCAGATCATTGAAGCGAGCGATGTAGTCTATGCTGCTCTCACTCATCATACAAGCAAGCTGAGAATCCATCTGCAAGCAACACCAAAGAGCTTTCAGACTGACAACAAGGGCAAATCCAAGAAGGAGAAAAAACCCCCAAAAAACAAGATTTTTCCAGACATCCCTCGAACAGTTTCATACTTTAGGTCAAGAGTGCAGGGGGGGAAAAGTTCATCACATCAATATCTGTCAATGAAATTAAATTATTTACTGAAAAAGCAGATGTGTTAGTCCAAACACAGGAGGCAACAGTCACCGGGCTCTATTCACCTCCCAGGCAGGTTTGGGCCCCATCCCAGGAAACAGGTTTAAGCTAACAAGTCTGCGTTTGTTAACCCTGAGATGAATCACTTAACACAATCTGAACTAAACCTGCTCACTGGCAGGTTATCTTTAACAAACTTAGAGCTTCTCTCTGCCTCATCCCCTCCTGCCACACCTGAACCAGCTAACTGACACTCCCGATTCATTTCTTCATAAAGTCGCTATCAAAGCACGCAAGAGAGCGAGAGAGAGCACTAAAAATGGAAACGTGTTCACAGACTGAGATTCAGATATTAAATGCTGTCAGCATTTCAAAAGGTATGGTGTCTGAATCTCAGGGTGTGACTCAACAAGTTTTTCATTAAAAATCACCTAAAATTTGGTGGATCAGCCCAGAAGCTGATCTATCCAAAAGGTACCATGTGGTCCCTAACACAACCGGCTCTGGGTCAGAGTCCACTTGCACAGCAGGACAGATCCAAAAGGGGATAAGAACCACATTTTCAGAGTGGATATAAATGCAGGTTATTTTTAAAATGGGAAGTGATGTTTTTACATTTACATTTTAGAGACTAATTAATAACATATAACATGTTGGTTGCTGAGATTCAGACTGTGTTGTGTTTGTGGCAAGTGTTGCTTCTCAGTCACAACTTTCTTTCATTTAATCAACAAGCATTTACTTACCTCTGCCACATCAGGAAGGCCACGGGATTGAATCATGAGAATCATGAGAATTGCAGTCCAGGAGGCTAGGACCGAGTAGAGCTGTGCCACTGGAGGGGCCAGTGGGGGTTAGGGTGGTCCGTCTGCCCTTATCAGGAGAGACCATGCTGGCTGCAAGGAAAATAAGAGCAAAAGACTGAGTAAATGGCCTTTCATCATACAGCTGTGTTAGTAATATTGGGGATTTTACAAACAAATCTTTGTAAATGTTGACTGCACGTGCTGCTGTATGCAGCATTTTTAGTGGGAAGTAATGATAAAAATACATCCACTTAATATTCTGTTCTTCTTGGCCTAAAATGTAACTTCTGGCACACTCTTGAGAAAGGAAGCAAAAAAACTCTTACAAAGGAGGCATCCCAGTGTGGAGTCAGACGAGTCGCTGGGGTACCACTGAGGGTCGTGGCTGGGTGAAGGGATCCAGCCTCTGGATGGGCTGAGCGAGGGAGACGAGGCCAGCAGTTTGGAGCCGTCGCTGTTGCCCAGCTTGGCTGGAGAGAGAGCAGCCTCCTCACCTGCAGTGCAGCAGGCAAACAGAAATGAGATATCAGCGATTAAACTCAGCAGGCTCAGATGTTTAGCTGCTTGGATGTCAACGTGCACTCTTTTCCACAACCTGCAGAGGAATTAATGCTGTGGAGCCACAAAGCTGACCTCAGTGGTAATTACAAAACCTTTCTAACCTACTCTCACTTTCCATTTCACTAAACAAACATCATCAAGCTTTATTTAGCAGTTTCTTGTCAATATGGCTCGGGTAAGACGTCTGCACGTGCACGCACCGTAATGTGTGGAGTTGATGGCAAGCTCGATGATGGAGTCGCTGATCTGCGTTTGAGGTTCTCCGGGGGTTAGAGCCTCTTCAGGAGGGCCTGGGAGTGAGATATCAAGGAGCGAGGCAACGCTCGGGGGAGAGAGGAGTGAGTCTCCCCCGCCGGTGACTCCAGGAGACGGAGGTGGTACGCCATTCTATGGAAAGAGCGATTTAACTTAGCACATCACATTTTTTTAAACCATTTATTCAAGCATAGCTGACAATTTTCTTTACCAAATGGTGATCAGCTACGACTGGAAAACAAATGAGGTTACGCAGACTCACTGCCTTTAACTAAGCCAAGTGTTCCCTCACAAAGGTCCACTGTGAGCAAGGAAACGCTCTGATGGCGATACAAACAGCTTTATTTATCCCATCAGGGCAAACTGTTTGGAGCAGCTTGTTTTTAAACCGTAACAGACAAATAAACAGGTGATCATGAATATGACAACTGTATGCAAGAATAATGTCTACAAAGAAAATCTATAAAAATTACTAAATCATTTGTGAAGTCTTGTACGACAGATGCACAGTAAAAAGAAAAACATTATGCAAAACCTGGCCTACACCGCACAGATAAACAGAAAATCATTAGAGTGAGCAATAACTTTCATTAAAGTAAGATAAATCAAAAACTGACCGTTTTAAATGTAACACTCCAAGATGGTAATGGGCAATAGCATTTATTCTAATGCCACAGGCAAGGAGGAGACATCAAATGAAGGAGGGTTCTAGTCCGTGTGTGTGTGTGTGTGTGTGTGTGTGTGTGTGTGTGTGTGTGTGTGTGTGTGTGTGTGTGTGTGTGTGTGTGTCTCTGACCTCTGGAACATTTTGCTGGTGGAGTTGAGAGTCTGGCTCAGCATCAGCAATGGGAGTGGTGGCGAGAAGAGCGCTGTTATCCACAGTGGAAGAATCCACCTCCCGACAGGGACTGCCTGGGATGATGCCTGCAGACTTAGCTGCCAGGTCAATGGCACCTGAAAGTATTAACAGTTCAGGCAAACGAGAGATTTGTCATATCACTCCTGATAAGCATCAACAGCAACAGCATGTGAAGAGCAGAGCAGGAAGAAAAAAAAAAAAAAAAAAAAAAAAAGGATGGTCCAAGGTCTTCTGGAAAAATGTTTTTGCTTCTGTCGTCTGCACAGAAATACTGTCTGTCACTGACCTTCTCAGAGTTCTAGATTTTGACACAGGAATCTTACACAAATACAACTTGGACCTTAAATATGTTTTTAAGCAATTTTATAAAATATGTCTGTGAAGGTTCTCAGTCATCCAGGTCATCGTAGTCAAAGGAGCTTACAAAGAAAAGCATCTGGACTTCTTTAAGTTACTTGAAGACGTTTCACCTCTCATCCGAGAAGCTTCTTCAGTTCTAAGGTCAAATGGTGGGGAGTCCCAGATTTAAACCTAGTGGGAGTATCCCCCCACAGAGGGACAAAAGGACCCCTGATGATCCTCTAATCGCCTGAGCCAAGGTGTGAAACTGGGTGCTTATAAAAGCAAAGTTGTTGACCCCATAAAAACAACAATATGTAATTTTTTTGCAGTATATTTGGTGTAGAGTTTATCAATATTTCAATAAAACAGAAAAATGTAGTAGATAACAGAAGAAGTCCATACTAGAGAGCTGGCTGGCCCCCGCAGAGCTGGATGTTGCTGGGGTTGTTTTAGTTTGGACAGAGCGAGAGGAAGGAGCTAGTCGGGGATGGATCGGCCGGAAAGATCCAGTTCCTGAAGGAAGAAACAGGAAGTGAGAGAGCAGACAATTACCAGAGGGTCTTGCTGAGAAAGAGAAATCGTTTTTAGCTGTGATTTCATTAATGCATACTGTAAAACTACGCCCTAAACATTTCCAGCCTCAGCTGACGACATATTCTATCGTTCTGTCCTGCCATCTGAGGAGTACCTGTGGCAGAGGAGTTGGAGAGGATGGAGAAGGAGCAGACGTGTTGAGGAGTGTCTCCTGTAGTTCTGGGCAGCAGTGTTCGCTGTGAACGAGAAAGAAGTGGCCAAACAAAAACACACTTAGGAAAACCCGCCTTCCACCCAACCAAGCCCAGAACTGATGAATGGATAATGATCTTGCTCTCACCTGAACTACAAGTGGTTTGCGAAGTTGTCTGTTCCGAGGTTTTCTCTGTCTAGAAAGGAAAAGATCTGACTGCATCTGTGAGAAAAAGAAAAGAAAAAAGCACATATTAATGCTCGTTAATACATGAATTATGTCTCTGTACAGTTGGCATAAACAAAAAATGATGCATTATTCTGGCTTACACTGATCGAGTCGAGCTGCTGTCTGAAGGCTAGCTCTGCCTCTTTGTTAGGGGAGAACATTCGGTTGTGCCGTGAGCTGTTGGGTGGCAGCGTGGTGGGTACTGCGAACACGCTGCTTTCTGATTCGCCAACTGCAGTAGAACCCAGCAGAGAGCGGGTAAGGTTGCGCCCACCTGAACAGGATTGAAACAGATGTGGTGCCACATCAGGAAAGGCAGCTATTTGAAGACAACTTCTAAAGAGGAAGCATCGGTGCTGCATAATTACTTCTCGCTGTTTAATAACTACAGCACTGTAAGTACAGAAAAGACTTTATCACAAAAGCCAGCAGGAGAGAGACATAAATACCTCCAGCACTTGGCAGCTGTAACTTGGGCATGCGCAAAGACGCCTGCGGCCGCCCACAGCTGGGGCTACGGGCGCCTGCAACAGGACCCTTCGCCGGAGGTGTGAGGACCTGGTTTTGCTCCTCCTGATAGGTCTTGAGGGGTGATGTGGCTGTGGAGCACAGCTCTGGAGCCTGAAGGAAAAGACACATGATATGCTCCTATCTCGAAATAGCACTTTCATTGAAAAAGACAAAAAAAAACCAAACAAAAAAAAAAACCTGTGGTGTTCATAGTACATAACCAGTAACATGTTTTTCATCAGCTGGCTTTGTACGGAATATAAACTCTTCACACTGCTGCATCTTAAAAATGTTTAATTTTAAGCCTTAATGCCACTGATAATTACACATTTTTCATCTTTTCAACTTGTAATTTAAACAACACACCAGGCCACAATCTTGGAAGACAGAAAAGGGAAAACTTACCAGAGGTTTGGGGTTGACTTCAGTGGAAACCAGCTTGAGTAAGCAGCGCAAAACTCGATTTGTCCTGTCGGGCTTTGGCTGCACTGAGGCTTGTCCCTCTTCTGAGTTGCTGGGTGGAGCTGTGACCGGCTGCCACTCGTACTCCAGCTGCAGCTTGCCTGGCTTCCCAAACATCAGGTACAGCTCGGCCAGGGTGACGTTCTCTGCGTCACGGGCGCTCCAGCCTTCCTCTCTGATCTGCTCAACGACCCGTTCTTTGGTCGCTGGTGGGGAAGCTTGCGACACGGCTTCGTCTGAGCCAGTCACTGGAGGTTTGACTGAAGGAGGCTGATTTGCCTCCGAGGAAGACGCGCTGGTGCTCTGCTCCTCTTTGTACTGCTCAGCGGAGCCATCGGCACCACTACATGACCTGTCCGTGCTTCTGGTCATGGCTAAACCACCACTGACCTCAACGCCAGTGCAGGCCTTTCCTGGATCAGAAGATCCCATCCCATCTCCCTCTTCTCTGACAGTCAGCTGAGAGGAAACTGGGACACAAGGGGACTGAAGTCTCTTCTCCTCTACCTTTGCAGAACTGTCTGCTGATGGATCAGGGTTGGGGGTTTCAGTTCGACGAGCATCACCCGTTATAGTCAGTGAAGCACCAGCAACAGCAGCGCTTCCCCGCCCAGATTTGCTGCCAGTTCGAGGTTGTGGAGCTGCATGGATGCCCAGGATCTGGGCAGCTGGCAACTCCTTGGCATTAGGTCGGCTCTTGCCACTCTCGATCCAATGGACAGTGCAGGACGCTTTGGAGTGAACCACACGTGCCACCCCAGGCAGTGTAGTCAATGTGCAGCTCTCAGCTGGAAAAAGAAAAAGTTCTTCCTTCTGAGTTATGCTGGGAGAGGCTGTGCTGGTCTGGTTGCCTTCTAGAGCCTCTCTCTCCATGAGACTCTTAAGCTGAGTTTTCAAAGTTAAGGACCAGTTTATATTCGACACAAGCTGGTATATGCCCCAGAAAGCAGCATGTTAGAGCAGTACATTTCTAATATGTACACTAGGAATGAAAAACACTCTGAAGAGTTTTGCATACATATTGCACTGTAATGTTTTTTTTAAAAAGGATACAATCCACTGGTCATGATAAGCCCACTTCTGTTTCAGATACTCTATGAGGCTGGAAACTTTCCTGTGGAGCTCCACCACCATCCTGAGAAAACAGAAAAAACATTTGATGTCAACTTTGCAAAATACAACACTACCAGGTCGAATACGTCTGACATAAACTACTTCTACATTTTACACTTAGACTACTGTGGATCAAATTTAATAGAGTTTTCTAAAACCGAAATAATCCTGTGTGGGAAAAATCAAAACGCCAACTACGTGCTCCAAAAATAACTAAAATAAAACAGAAATGTTCATTAATGTATAGTTTTACTATATTTGTTTTGTCACGTTTGCAAACAAATGCATACTGACATTGCTGTAATTCAGCCATTTTCACAAAGTCTTTACCCTTCTTCAACCTACCCATGATAAATAACCCTTATTATCATAATAATTAAACAAAAAAACAAAAAAAAACCCCTAACACTGAAACCAGTAAAAACGAAACTGAACCTCAAAAGAAGCAAACCCAGTCTGAACACTAACTGAAAACTGAACTGAGAACAAAAATTAAAAATGAAAGAAATAGAGTTTAAACTTTGAACAGCATCATGTCTGAGGGTGTTTACACTTTTCAAATTTCACGAGTTAGCTTAAAAAAAAAACATATACACACATATTTAATTTGCACAAAAAAAAAAACAAAAAACAAAAAAACAGAAATTTTATTACTTTCATTTCTAAAGAGCTGACCCAGAAAACGGTGGAAAACATGCAAACCATCAAACTGAAATAAGCAGTCTGAAGCCAAGAAGAGGTTCTTAAATTAGCTCAGGCTTTGTTGCATCACCATGGCTTGAACTAATAAAATAAATAAATAAAATAATAATAGAAAATGAATTAATGAAGGTATGACATCTCTCCGACTCTTGGATGTTATGCTTTTGAAAATATATTGTGGTTCTTATCCATGTCAGACCTGAGGCGAGGGTTGTGGGCAAGACTCTGAACTCGGGCCCAGGAGTGGTTACTGCGTGGCTGGAGCTCCACTGCCACCTTCAAGGGCAGACGCACCGGCTTCTGGTCCTCTTCATCACTCACTCCTGCAGGACACAAAATTACAGATTCAGCCACTATAAGAAAAGCCCAAAACCTATAAACTCAACTATGCTCTCTCACTTAATCAACCACGACAAAATGAAAAGGCAGCCATCAATCTCGGTGGGATCCATTCACAGATTTACATACAACAATGACAAGAGACAGTCTTTTTCTACCCTTGATGAAAGCAAATATTTTCAGTAAGTGTGATGAGTGGGTGTTATTGAGCAGAGGGGTTGATGACAGCTGGTCAGAACAGTCATCTCCTTCATCCTCCTCACTTTGCACCCAAAGTTACCATGGAAACACCACCAGCCCACTTGATGCCATGGTTTTTGTAAAAAAGCCCCGCCCCCGTGAACCCCCCAGTCTCACCATCAGTGAGGTTTTCAGTGCTTGTTCTGTAACGCGTGTGCTGGGTTTCTGCAGGCTCATACTCACCATCTGGATCACAAAGTTTCTTCAACGCTCGGCACATTGGAGCTTTGATCCGCAGGTTCCTCCCCTTAGAGCGCACGGTGGTGGCCCTGGTGGAACAGAAGAATCTTTATTCATATATGTTGTAAGCTCTAAACCTTGCCGTGCCACAGAGAAAGCATCTGACTACATACTGTCAACTCAGCCCTCAGATTTGTTTTTCATACTAGCAAAGTGCTAATCTGTATCTTTCCAAATGTGATCTAGTGCATCAGTTTAAAGTATCACAATCCCAGATGTGTACGTAAACCCACTAGCCAAAGCTTCTGCCACAGACTTACCCTTGCTGGATGAGTTCGTTCAGCTTTGCCACATTCTTATCATCCATCACTGTCAAAGACAAAACACAAGACAGCTAGTTAAGACATGCTCCTCAGGGGCAACTGCCCCGAGCCACAGGGATCATCTGGAGTTTAATCACATCCCCTGTGTCCACAACCAGCAGAACAAACAGCAAAACACACGCAGTCTACATTGCATCCAAGCGCTTTCACAGCCCTCACTTACATCCTCCAACTTTTTTGCGAAGCTCGGCGTAGCAGATGAGGCCGTACAGTTCTTGAGAAGATTTCTTTAACACCCTGGAGTACACTGAGAAGGAAAGGAAGCACAAGTCACAACACTGGTGGAGGCCTGTGCGTGCTACATAAAGATAACATGAGAGTAACACTGGGTGCTTTTTGTAGGGGAAAAGAGCTCCAGCTTATCTGGTGAACTTCTTTAACATATGTTTTGCTTGCTAAAAAACAAAAATGTCAGTGTGAGTTCTGTTGTAGGAAAAAATAATAATATATGTGGCTGTTTAACAGCATCTCTTCTTTACTTCTCATTCACAGTGTCTGCAGTAAGTAGCATAACTGAAACAACTAAACACAAACCTAAAATAAACCAATTAAGATCAGCCTAAGACATCACCTTGTTGTATGAGTTGTACACATTTTTATGAGGCGTCATTCGATAAAGTCATTACAGTGTACAAACTTCATATTTGGGGATCAAAAATTCCAAGGTGAATTAAGAGAGAGAGAAAAAAAGCAACTCACCGTTAGCGAAGTCGATGTGTTTGGAGATCTTGTGCCAAGTTCGGTAGTAAAAGTGGCGGACCTGTTCCTTGTTCTTCACCATATTTGCTGGCTTGCCTCTCTTCTTGTACTTCATTGCAATGTTGTTCTGGATGGCCTCAAAATCCTTCCCGTGCTGGGAACAAAGGAGGGCAGCCGTGAATCTACGACGTCAAAAGATCTACACATGGTAAACTTTTAACTTGGTAAAAGGTTGTTGCAAGCTTTACCTCATAAAGACCCTCAAAAAAGCTGTTTTTGTCCTCGGCGCTCCAGGATTCCCACTGCCGACGGGCTCTTTTCTGGTTACCAGCTTGTTCTTCCTTCTCTGTAGACCCTTGGCCCTTGGAGGTCTTGGATACTCCCCCCGTGGAGCTGACCACAGGCCCGGTCTGCCCCACCACACCCTGGGAAGAGGAGCCATTCTCTGCCCCTGTTTTAACACAGAAACATTCAGAGGAAAGGCACAACTTAAATATCAGCTCACCACCCTGGCTGTTTTTTATGTCATAACGAAAAAAGGTTGATCTGAGGTGTGTGATTTGCGAGATGTTAAAATACATGCACACAAAGCCACCCACTGCCATTACAGCGCACAGAACCTGCAGAGCTTCCCTCTCTGTGGTTAAGCTCTGGCAAGGAGACAGGAAAAGCAATCAGTCCCTATGGTCAGGTCTACATTACACAGTTCCAAAACCAACTCATGGTGGGCTCCACTGGCCAAGTTTTCTGGCCCAGTACTGTGCACAACACCAGGAGACATTAGCAGGAGCACCCAGAGAGTTGCTGTTGCAGTACTGTGCTACATTATAAAAATAAATAAATAAAGAAAAAAAAGTGTTGTTTTTTTTGTTTTTTTTTAGCCCAAATGGGTGTTAATTTACAAACACAAGCATGTGACTGGCTCACAGACAATAACCTAGATGTGTCGCCTTCAAAATAGAAGTGCACCGATATAGCATCACATAAAAATAAGTGAGGCTTTCTTAGTCAGACAGTCAAACGTTTGTGCTCAATCTAAATATAGTTTCTGACACAATCAGAGCTTTTCTGTTTCAAACAACAAAAATCCACCAGTCATACCTGTCAAAGGATACACAAGTAAATAATATTGTTTCTGATCTGATCAATGGCTGCTGTTTTGTGGACAAAGCAATTTTAAAAGGAAAAATGTACAAATTAAAATCACAGATGTATAATGTACTGAAATATTTTTCCAAATAAATTCCACTTTTCAATGAGGAACACACAGATTACTGGGTGGCATAGCCTCATTAACAAACTCAAAAACCACCACCACCTTACTAAGTCTCAGCCCCACCCAAAGCTGTCTGTGCCTCCAGAGGGACAGGTAGTGTGGAAACCCAGGAGGTAATGCCTCGTCTGCATAGATAAACTGACACCAACCAGCTCACACTTAGCAAATACAATACTATTAGTGATTGGTAGCCTACAGGGGAATCCTTCATTGTGTTTAAAAGTCATCCTGAAAGCCTTAAGTCATCTCTAGCTTTGATTCATTGTTTAGAAAGTTCCTGATATCAGTCACCCTCTGAGTTACTACAGAGGCTCATTCAGATTATTTGCAAAACCAAAACTGAATAATGGCAAATAAATTACAACCTCTGCTTTACTGGTATTTGTTGTAAAATGGGGGTGATAAAAAAAACAAAACAAAGGTAGCCTAGGCTAAATCTGTGGGTCAATGAAATGATTGGCTGAAAACTGCAACATCATTCTAGTCCAATTTCCTATATAGTCCCAAAAGAAAATAATAAGAAAAAAGACAAAAGAACTGTAAGCAACCCTGTTCAGTAATGTCCCTTTCCTGTCCTGATATCAGGTCCATTTTAAGCCCGTGATTTAATCCTCCTGCTGATAACAACACCGTGCCTTTATTGTTATTGCTGCCAGTTTCCAAGAAACTGCAAAAACAATCAAGTGACATCTTAATTAAAATCTAACTTCTGGCCTCTCCTGATTTTTGCTTCTTTTTTCCCCGCATAAGTGGTGTACAGGATGGTGTTGCAACATGGGCTGGAGCAGCCAAAAAATGTACCCAGAGTACAACCCAGCAAGTGGCCCACAGGGGATACACGGCAACACAACGGCATCACAGACAAGCACACTGCAAGCACCGACAGAGAAAACTAAAACTGACAGCGCAGCCCCCAATCTCTCCTGATCCCACCTGTACACACTCTTTCCCGAGCTGGTCACTCACTTACCTTTCGATTTTGCCCCGCCATGTCCATTGATGGAGGAGCCGATTGAATCCTTCCGTATCCGTTTGCTCGGAGGTCGAACGCTTGATCGGAGAAAATGATGCTGGTCGGGGCCCGGAGGGCCGGGCTCAGCTGATATTTGGGGAAGCTGGGTCGAGCCTGGTCCGGTTCGGGTCGGAGCAGAAGCAGGAAGGACCGGGGCTGAACCGGAGCCGAGACCCGTGGTTGATGGATTAAGAATTTCCACTCCGTCCTCTCCCTTTGTACTGCGCTCCTCGCTCGCCTGCTCTCCGTTCTCCTCTTCGTCGCAACCGTCGGGCTTTCTGGACGGATTCCTCCTCCCATCGACACCGATCCCCTCCCTGGAGCCCGGTGTCATGCTGCCACAACACAATTACACAAAATTCGTCACATTAGGAGCAAAGCGATGTGCAAAATTAACTTCTAAAGACGACGTTCACTGTCTCTCAACATGGCCGCCGCTGTTTGTTTCAAATCCCCTCTTCAGTCCCGTCAAAACAACACCAAATATATGCATTTCATGCCTTGAGATAAATTAGATTTAACAACTGAAGCAGTTAGAAGACTGGCAGCGATGCTTTTCCGAGTAGCTTTCCGCTGTAATGGCCAATAATGACGATTTAATTTAAACTGAATTCAAAAGCGACCGCTTTTCAGTTTAGCGCCCTGCAGAAACGACAACGAAAACCCCCTCGGTGCCTTCGACCTCTAAATAAAGTGTTTATTTCAAACCTAATTTTACCCATTTTGGTGCTCCTCTGTAGTAGACGATGTCTTCTTTCTCTTCACCATGGGTCCGAGCGGTTAGACTGGCAATTAGTGGTCAAATTGAGCATAATAAAGCCGAGAGCGATCGCTCCGCTTTTATGCCCTCTCCTTGCTCCTGATTCGACTGAGCTGAACTCTCTGCGCAGTTCAACTGTCTCTTCTATCAGCAACAACATTACTCAATGCTTTCCATGCAACGAGACATAAATGACACAAAACCAGCCGCAAATACGAGATATTTAACTGCATTTTGATGGATAATAATTTACAAAAAGCCCGTGTCGGTTGAGCTCATTTGAATTGATATAAGCAGGTATAGTTTTATTAGGCTGTGAGTGGACTTCGCTTCACACTACGTCATCATAAGCAGAAATTGTGCCTGCAAAAGAAATAATTTTATGCTCAAACCTTTGCCATGATAATGTTATGAATTGCCAGCAATACTACAGCCCCTCATAAATACACACGATGGCACGTGAGGAAAATCAGGACGTGGCTTTAAGTACACGTTGAGTAGAAGGAGCTGAAGGAGTAGAAGGGGTGCTGCACTTGTGTTAAAATGTGTAAACACTGCAGAGTTTCTTATCCTATGTGCTCTACTGTTTTCCCACAACTTAATTTTATGCTTGCTGAATAATCAGGAGAGGGGATGTCCAGTGCTTAAGGACGACAAAAAAAAAAAAAAATCAGACCTGGGCAGCTTTAGTATGGGGAAACATCACGAATGTCTTCTTTTGCCACACAGCATTTAAATCTCTCAGTTCGTGTCAGCATACAGCTGATTATCAGGCAATTCTGGCACAAATTGAGACGAATTAATAATTTATGAAAGCCTTAGATAATTGATTCAGCTATTTAATGTTTCAATTGAGCTTAATAAGATCTTTAAACTTCAAGTGATGGACAGCTATAGCTGTACTTATTCTGTTTTATCATTTTCTTTCAGTGCAATCTGAGTTGACACCGCGGTTCTCTTTTTACTTCACTAAATGACATTACTCGCGTCCCACAGCAGTGTTACATTAAAAACTACTTAGCAGCTGTAATAGTCTCATCACGAGTATAATATTATATCGGAAGCTTCACGTGTATTTGGAAGTGCGGTGGTGTAATAATTTGAGGTGTTTACAAGCAGTTGCTAGTAAGTAGATGTAGCAAAATATATTAAATGTAGTCAAATATTTCTTCCGTGGATAGCCCGCTACTATGTCCAGCATGGCTGCTGTTGTTGGCTAGCTAACATTAACAGTATAACAAGTCAAACAAGATTTTACGTTATAAAACTGCTCCTAGCATAACGGCTATTTTGTACAGAGTCCAAAACAGGTTGTTGAATTGGTAAATATTACTGAGCTTACCTAAAGCAGAAGATTGCTGGTAGTATTCCCAAACGAGACACAATTTAGCATTGCTAGCTGACTGTAGACCTCCAGCTTGCTACCGATGACAGCTCCAGCTGCCCCGTTGTCAGCGCGCGCAGACACGCCCATTACTATACAAAAACAAAGACTGTGATTGGCTAAAAAAACACGAGGTCGGCGGTTAAAGTTTGATTGACAGAAACCTCCGCCAACTGTTAGTGGAAGAGTTAACAACGAAAGACCAATTGTCATTCTCTTCCTGTCACGCCTCGCCAAGTTTACCGACTAGTACACTAAACATTTTAAGCGACTCTGGGTGATATATAATCTAACCTTTTTTTTAGCTATTAATTTTTTTTGTTTGTTTTAACAATAGTTTATCACTGCAATTAACATTTCTGGTCCTGTAAGACAAGTTCCGCCCAAAAAATGATTGACATTTTGACGAACAATTCAGTAGGCGGAACTCAGAGGATGCGCTTGAATTTTGTATTGGAGTATAAAAAAACCCCACATGTCTAAGAAGAACTGAAACAAAACACTAACTGTGTTGAGCACTACGTTTTGAGTTGATATCATCATCTCAGACTTATCTGTTTAAGAATAAAACAAGCGCACACGTGGAAATTAGTCCATGTCTACTACTGTTTAAAGCGTTTTTGAGACTCACAAGGCGAAACTTTCCTGCTTTTGTAGAAGATGTGTATAACCTATTGCCATAATTAAACAGCCGTGTAAATCATATTTAAATAAGAAAACTATAGCCTCAGTGCTGTTCCGGGAACAATGCACAGTTGCTTCTCCAAAGTCTTTCACTCGTAATGGGAGTCTGGGTGCAGTGAAACGAGCGCACCTCAGCTTGGCAGAGGACCAGTTATAATCCTCTGTGTCATAGTTGGGTGGGCTCGAAATTCTTCACTACGGAGTTGAGCCGGGCACGCGCAGGCAGAGGGGGGAACTCGCTCGTCGTCCAGTTGGCAAACTGACGAAGAAGTTGTCTTCGGAAACTTGAAGGGTCAAAACAGAGCCACCATGACTTCGACTAACATGTTTCAAGGGTTGGATAGTGGTTCGAAACCGAGTTCAAGGTAAAGACAACAGCTGCGCGGCTTGGTTATGTGCGAATAAGAGCCGCCAGTAACGTTTTATTCCGACTGCAGCCAGGAGCTCGGACAGTTAGCAGCCCAGAATTTAGTATAACGTTGCCTGTCAGAACTTCGTAGGTTTTTTTTTTCCTTCCACTAATTTCTTTAAGCATATCTCGAACACGCAGTGCTCCCAGAAAGCTTAAATGTCTGGGTGGACGCTTAAGTGGAGCTGCAGTGGTTTGAGTTAGCAAACTTGTTAGTCATGATAGCTTTCGAGCTAGCCATTCAGGCGTTGTCTACTGCGCCTGCGGAAGTGTGAAATGCTCCTCGGAAGGCTCTTCTTTGTATCCGCCAACAGAGGCGTTATGGTCACACTTTCCTTATAGCAAGAGGTTCGGGTGCTTTTTTTTTTTTTAAATCTCGAAAGCACCAGTTTCCGGATCAGCTCCCCCAAGTAGAATGATCAAACTTTCAATAACGAAAGAAAGTAAAGCGTCTGTCTGATATAATCTATAGCAGACAATGGTTTCCATGCGTATATGGCGCCATTCCCGAGTCTATAATCAAGTAACCTGTTATTTAGCTCAGTTGGCCCAGCTAACATATTTATAGCCCGGTTACTTAACGTTTCCTACAAGTCTTTGAATGTAAGACATGACAGTAACAGTAGACTGTAAACATGAATCCGCATTCTGTTTATTTAAAGATTTAACTTGTATGTTAATCTGTAGGGTGTTGCAGCCTCCTGGAGGTGGCTCCAGCAATCTGTTTGGTGGCTATGAAGAGGACTCTGCAGCATCAAAAAGACCCAATAAGATGGCCTCCAAAGTTTTTGCTCCACCAGAGGAAGCCCAGAGTGCACCGAAACGCTCCAATCCTCCAGGTGAGATTAACCTGCTGGTGGCTGATGCTTTGGCTTTTCTGTCTCTGCAAATCCATGTTCAGAGTGTGAAAACTATTACTACAATGTTAAATTTCCACTGTAAACATGTTGGCTGTTCTCTGTGCCTGCACATAATACACCTGCTCATATTACTCTGGTATAGCTGGGTTTATTTACAGTTCAGGGTACTTGATTGCCCTGATGGTCATAAATATTTTTCTCTGAAATGGTCAGAACATTCTTGCCATTTAGCAAGTGCACACAGTATGCAAAACTAAACTGGGTATGTGCTACATCTGGTACAGAAGAGTGACTCTTTATGAAATGGACACAGAAATTGCATTTTATTTTTTTACCATTGCTGAAGATCGTGTCACTATATGGTATGTTGGTTAATCTTTTATAGGTGGAAAGAGTAGTGGAATATTTGGTGAATCTGAGCCTGCTGCTCAACCACAGAGACCCATGCCACCAGGTGGACCAACCAGCAACATATTTGGGCCTGCAGGCACGGGACCTGCCCAAAGTCCAAGCCGAAGCCACCCAAATAAGCCAAAGGTACTTTTTGACTTGTATTTTATGAGTTGCAGAACATTTTTATTCCAAGCCTGTGCAAAAAAAAAGTCTCTTTAGTGAGGAATACATAGGTTTGCGACAGGCAGCACTTCAATAATAATCTCTAATAAATACACACTAACTGAGCCCCACCCTAACACCTACCTGTCTGTGCCTCCAGTGAGACCGGTGGTACGGTAACCTCAGAGATGATCTCTAATTTGCATAGATAGTGACTGCAAACCTGGCTGATGTCAGCCTGTTATTGTAGATGTCTGTGATTACTAATCAGCAAAGGTGTGTTTAAGTCAGCACGAAAGCCTGAAGCCACCTCTAGCTTTAGCACATTGTTTAATGACTCAACAAAGGTCCTGATATTGGTAACCTTTGAGTTGTAGGTACTGAGGGTCATTCAGATTATTTGCAAAAGTAAAAAAAAAATGTGGCAAACATAACCATTATGACCTTTAAAACTAAAGAAATGTATGCAGTCATGTATAATAATTGCACTTTCTTGTCCTGTTCTCATGTCCATTTGACATTAACCCATTAACATTATTAATTTCAATTTTAACTGTGTGCAGTGAAACAAGAACACCTGTGGGGTTTTTTTCTTTCTTCCTTATCTTTACTGTTTTGTTTTTTTGTTTTTTTTAATACAGGACAACCTAAGTGTGGGACCTGAACCTGAATCACCAGGTGAGTACTGTACATGTTCTTTGTGTATAATTTCTTTGCATTATACTATTAAACTACCTCTGCTAAGCCTTGCTGTTCAGACAGATCAGATTTAATCATATTGTACCGTTTTCTAAGTTTTACACCCTAAACTTTTAATCAGTCTTCAGTTAATGAGAGAGAAAAATAAATTGAGTCTATTTATGCTCTCATCTGTGCATTTCCACTGCTTAACTGCATATAGCTTCATGCAAACAATAAAAATATGTGATAGTCTCAATAAACTATCCTCAATCTCTGCAATTCTTTTTTTTTTTTTTTTTTTTTTTTATAAAGCTTACTAGTTTCACTTAGATCTCAAATGTAACAAATATGTGATTTCCCCCTCCTCTGTTAGTTAGTGAACTGCACTTGAAAACGGCAGGGCTTGTGGTGTCTTACATGAACTCAAGCTTTCTGGCTTTAGATTATAATTTGGTACTCCATGCTCTCGTCTAATGATCATCACTTCTGAATCCAAAAAATCAACATGGTGGTGTCCATCACACTACACACAACACATACAGTGCAAAAACCAGGGGGTCGGGTCACGGTGGCTGTGTCCAATTTGATATCACATGTCAGTGTGTTTGTTTCAGTTCCTCAAGCTCCTGAAGCCAAAGCCAGCCAGCCTGAGGCGAAAGAAGAAATTGCACCCCCAGCCGATGCACCAGCTAAGGAAGAGCCACCCGCTGCCATTGCCGCTGCTGTCTCGGCACCCTCGGAGCCTGAACCCACACCTTCCTCATTTCCTGATGACACTTCGCCGAAGAACCACGAGCCTCACCTGGGACCCAAGCCTCGCTCCCACAACAGGGTCCTCAACCCTCCTGGAGGAAAATCTAGTGTGGTGTTCTACTGATCAGCTGAGCGTGCCACCTCTCCGAATTTGTGTCCATAAACCTCTTTGTGTGCTCCCCTGTTAATCTTCTCTCATTCCTACACTGCTCTTTTGATGGAATGTGATCTGTACACCTAAATACAGCCCAGTTATTGTTGTTGTTCACACCTGACGCCTGGGCTCATAAGTTGTCCTCAATATCTTGCACTTTCATCCCTCGTTTTTGACTTCCTGCCATCTGTCTTCTCCTTGATATTCTTCTATAATGAAACATGCAATCATTACAATCACCAATGAGTCAGCTGAATGGTTAGCTGTCACCTTATCACTTTAACTGTAACACAGTTTGGTTTCAACTTTGCAGTTACTGTTTTCACCGTTTGTGTTACAAGCATTTGTAAGAGTAATTTGTCTGGAGGCACAATCATCTAATTTTTGTGTGTAATTTTTCTGCATCTCAAGAACGGTTTAGTTTGGACTACTTGCACAATTTTGCGCTTTTAAACTGACCTGCAATTTCGTTTGACTAAAAACTTCACAGCAGACATTTGCCCAAATTTCTGGAAGCTTTCTGGGGTGAACACAGCCTCTCATCAGTTTAATATATGAAGTGCCAGATCTTTATTGCATGTCCACTTAATTTCAGAATTTAAGAAACAATCCATGTGACTGAGGCCTGGTATCAGCTTGGCATCCTTTCATCTCTCTAGCCTTTTAGTTAATTATGCCTTACTAAAAACGTGTACAACAGAGCACAATCTGTGATTAGGAATTGAAACAGCTGTTTACTCCCCAGATGTTTCTGTGTCCTCAAAGAAATTCCATTTTGATTTATGTGAATGTATTGTGCAGGTACTTTCTCTGCTTCGCCCTCATTGCTTGCTTTATCTGAGAACATAATCTGCCTTCTTTTAGCTTGGGGTAGGCCTCAGTTTATGTTTTAAATTAAAACGGCTTGAAGACAAAGTGAACTCTGGACAAGCGTGCGGCCTACCTGAAGTCCAGGTGGGCTCGATGATAATCACATTTTCACACTCATCTCGGGGCAGACCTGTGGTGTTCTGGTGCCAGCCTGTCTCCTCCGTGTCGATGTGCCTGGTAGGCAGCGAGCGCAGCAGAAGAAAGAAATCCTGTGTATTGCAATAAAATGGTTGTTTTGCAGTAAGAGTTTGTTTACTGTGTCTGCATTCATCATCTACTAAAAACTGAGAAACACTCAGGGGTGATTAATTTAAACATGTACATTTTGTTAAACTGGAATTCATCTCTCCCGTTGATGCTTATGAGGATTTGTGTAAATCTGACATACAATCCAGTGTTGTCTGTCCCATTTTGAATCACTGACAGTGGTGCTTTTGTCTGAATTTGTCCTCGGGCAGCACTCTCTGGAAGCCGCTTCTTTTTTTCTCCCCACATACAAAAATGGCCACTTCTGCCCGGAGGGAGTTTATTTTTGCTTCGCAGCCACAGAATCTGTATAGAATTTTTAAACATTTCTATTTGAAGCAACGGTACAGATGACAGCACATAAAACACTGTTTGCTTGTGTGTTTGTGTATAAAAACTGTCCAAAAGTTGATTCTGTTCATCTGGACGTATCATTTTCAGTGGGAGAAACGTTTCGTCACTCATACAAGTGACTTCTTCAGTCTCAGCTGACTGCAGGTTTCCTCAATCTTATAAATAGAAGAGTTACCTCATCAGGCCAGGACTCTGCAGTCTATTTACACCTACAGGGCAGTGGACACTGTTTCAATGATGAGGATGTAACATCCTGGATAGGGAGGAACGCTGGTTTAAGCGGAGTCAAGGAGGTCATCTCTGAATCGAGGAGGGGGCCTAAGGGTACATCTTTCGCCATCTTACAAAGCTGTGATTGCAGCCATTCCCCAACTCTCTGAGAATGGTACTCATGGCCATTGATCAGTGGTCTTTGATCAGTGGTCATGAGAATTTGCATAATTAAGATTAAGGAACTGACCTCCCAGCCCATTATTCCTTCAGTGAGCTGGTTTCAGTCATTTTGCAAATGTACTGTATAAGACTGGGGAAAGCTACAGTCAGCTGAGACCGAAGCAGTCACTTGTTTAAGTGACGAAAACTTTCTCCCACTGAAAACGCTACGTCCAGATGAACAGAATCAACTTTTGGAGATTTACTTACCTGGATGATTGAGAATGTATTAAGATGTATAAAAACTGAGATGTTCAGAGGTCTTCCTTCATGGTATCGAGCAGCCCACACAAAACAGGGTCTTTGTGTTGGTTTTAATGTAGGTGCTGATGTTAACCACCATGTTCAGCAAACATCTATCAGGTCATTCGACTTGTTAGCGTCCTCCTGAGCTGAAGGTGGTGGCTATAAGTGACTCAAACATGACAAAAATGGGTTCTGAGTGACTGGCTGGACAAAAATATTAAATAGCTTGACTAGTTAGAAATCATGAGGAGCAACAACTCCATGACTGCTCTTCTCTTATGTGGGATATATTAACAATGGACAAGCCGTTTGAAAATATGATGTGAAATCACTTAAATAACCTGCTGGGTTTGCTAAAAGTTAAAATATTTATACTACTTTGGCTGATGGGTTTTGCACATCACTTTTAACTTATTAAGTGGATATTAGTGAGGGTCATGATAATCAATTCAATTGAGTAATGGGTTGATTAAGTCCATTTCCAGACTAAGAGAAAAAGTCAGTGAACATATCAGTAGGTTTAGGTGTAGGCTAATCCATGTCTGGTTATGGATGTTCACTGACATGGTTTCTTCTTACTTGGATTTATCCAAATGTATGTAAGTTTTGGTCTGTTGAGCCTTCGTGTAGCACCAAGCAGTAGACCTAAACCTGGATGTGCTTCTGGGTTCTGCCTCTAATGAAAACGGATGAGTGTAAAATGCAACCATTGTTTGTAGTTTGCTGCCACCTACTGAGTGAAACTGTTAGTTACCCGTTCAGTTTAGTAAGAAGCATTAGTGTTTCACAGCCAAACACAATAGTTTGCAGAAAACGCCTGAAAATATAAACATGAATTCTTCCAGGGATAATATAAAAGACAAAATTAGGGACTTCTTTATTACTATGACAGACGAACAGTAGGGTGCACTGAAAACAGGGTGCCCACATGAAAACACCATGCGTTCACTTGGCAGCATTACATCATCGGTGATTCACATCTGCTTAACGGAACTCATGGCAATGATCAAGGACTGTGAGGGTGGTTTCGGCCAAGGGCCGGGTGTCAATTTGGGGGAGAAATCAGAGCACTGTGCATGTTGCCACAATTCATGCACCCAGCAACTGAATCATGAGGGGCCAAAAGATGCACCAGTGCCTGAGCCCACCAAGGACTCCACAAAGGAGTGTGACGTGTGCGAGGCTGAGCCCTCTGCACCTTGTAATGATGTGACAGTGGAAGCTCCACTGTCAGGGGAACAGTTGCTTGTTAAAGAGCTCATAAAGGCAGTAATCACACATGCCTCAAGAGAGGCCAATGTGTCGCCATCCGATGAGATTCAGCAGGGTCTCTTCATAGCTCTGTGGGCGCAACTTAAAGAAGAAACTCTAAATATAAAAAAAGAGGATCAAAAGTCTTGCAAAGGCAATTTTCAAAGACATTACAAAGGTACTGGGTATTACACCTAACCTTGTTATCATTGCGTTGGCTGTACCTTCGCCGTACCAACAAGTGGTGATTTTGATATTCAAAGACCACCTGTTTCGAAAGAAGCGAAACCTACTTACAAGGTTTTTCGCATGGTGTGGAAAAACAGAGGATGATGAAGACCAGCTACCAGAAACTGACAATATCTCCCAGACACTTTTGAACGAATTTAAAGATATTATATTTCCAATACCGGGAGAAAAATCATCATCTGGAGTTACTGGCAGATCTTATGATGCTGGCAAAAATGAGCACGTGAGCGCACTTATTCATGGTGTACTCTCACATGCTGAAAAAATGTCCCGCTACAAACCTTCAGCTAAACTACACAAGCTGCTCTTTGACAATGTGGTGTCTGATGTCAACATCAAAGACCTGTATGTAGATGAAAAAAAATTAAAAGGTCTCGATAAGGCCATTTACCAAGAGCTCCAAACACTTTGCAAAGAAAAACCTTTGTTAAAGTTACTGAATGACAGGAACCCCTTAATGCGCAGGGTGACGGTTCATACAATTAAAAATCACTTGATCAAATCGTTGCAGAATCCTGCCCTTAGGGCAGCTGGAGAGGTTCAAAAATACAAGTCTTCTGTGGAAATGTGTATTGAGGACTTGGTGAAGCAGATTGTCGAAAATGCAGACTCACCCTGCTCTTCTGAAAAAGCTGATACTATCGCCAAACAGTTGTTCAGTAAAGTCTGGCCTCGAATCAAAAGGATTCCAATCCCTGCTGTACATGTGATATTCCTCAGTAATATGATGTACAATTCTCTCATAGAGAAGTGGAAAGACCCAGATGTAATACTGACATTCATGGCATTAGACCACAGATATGTTTACGAGCTCATTATTAGGGTCTACAAAGAGCATGCTGTAACCATATTAGAAAGTGAACCTTTCATCAGAAGCTTCTTTTCCTCTGTGGGTCGAGCTGTAGGGTTCGCACACGCACACGCACAAAAAATTTTGGGGACATTACATTAACTTACATTAATTTCCTGGAGACTTATCCTGACTCTACCCATCACAAGTCCCTGCCTGAACCTTACCCTAACCCTGACTCAAGCCTTCACCCTAAAATTGAATGATTTACCTTGCAATTTGTCCCCATAAAGTAGGCGAGACCTCATAATATGAGTGTGTAAACAAATTTGTGTCCCCACAACAATAAGTAATACATGACCACACACACTGACACCCACACAGCAATATTGGTATGGCAGGGATCAGGCCCACACAATGTGCTTACACATGGCCCACATACCGCAAAGAATGACGGCCCTTTGGTGGCCCAGACCTGGTTTGCCAGAGGTGGCCCACACATGGGCCAGCACAAGGCCAGTTTCAGACACCCTGGTCGTCCTGTGCTGGCCCATGTGTAGATTACCTCTGGCAAACATGATCTGGGCCACCAAAGGGCCGTTATTCATTGCGGTATGTGGGCCATCTGTAGGTGGTGTGCAGCCACGGGCCAGTTGTAGACACACTTCTGGCCCTGTGCTGGCCCAGAACGGTTTCAGCTCTGGCCCCAGATGTCAGCATAATGTGTACCTTAATCAAGCCATGCAATAACAACATGTGCCAGAACATGCAAAACAGTGCAAAAGTAACATGCTGAAACTCTGTTCAGACAGTGAATGGACTGATTTTTATGTAGCGCTTTTCTACTCTCCCAGATTACTCAA